TGCTCTGCTTCTTCCTGTAAAGTGCGCTTCTTCTCCATGTCTGTCAGCAGCCGGTGGTGTGATTTACCAAGCCAAGTCTAACCTGAAAATTTTTTTTCAGACCCACACCTGAACTGCAACGTGTGAAATAGTTAACATTCCCACCCATACCCAAACTGCTTAGTGGGTCACCTGCGGGTACCTGAGCTGATGCAGGACTTTATTGTGATCAACTGGAAAGACTGTCTCGAGAAATATAACAAAAAAGAAAATCAGAGGTCTAGGAAACATGGCTTTTTATCATAGAAAAGCCAGGCTGGCAAGGACCTCAAGAGATCATCTAGTCCAACCAAGAAATTGAACCTGTAACCTTGGTGTTGGAAGCACTATGCTATAGCCAACTGAACTAAACAGTCATGGAAAGATTGAAAGAACTGGGTTTTTTTAGAAAAGAGAAGACCAAGGACATGATAAGAGTTTGTAAATATGTAACAGATTGTTCTAAATAAGGGAGTAGTAATTATTGTTCCTGCCCACAAGAATAGGGCAAGAAATCAGGGGTTTAAATTGCAGTAAGGTAGGTTTAAGTTAGACATTATGAAAAATCTTTTAATTGTAAGGACAATTAAGCACTTGACTAGATTACCTAGGAAGGCTATAGGCAGGCAAGCTTCTTTGGGTAGATGTGATTTTTTTTATTAGACCAAGTGGGTAGTTGGAAAAAAAGTGTTTTGCAAATTTTCGGGCACAAGCAACCTTGTTCAGGTAAAGGGAGTCTCTGCTGTTCAGAGACTAACATGGCTATAACCAAAAACCTAGAAAGGCTATGAAATCTTATCGCTAGAACTGATTAAGAACAGGTTAGATGAGTATCAGGTAGGAAAGGTGTAGGTATAGTTGGTCCTGCTTTGTTACAAGGGGATAGATTAAATGATTTCTCAAGGTCCCTTTAGAAGAATACATTGAGCGATTAATAGTTTTATTCAAAACTTAATTCTGAAATACAGTCTTTTACCAATGTGATGCTGCAGCTGGCAAAGCAAACAAACCTCTGGCCTGCATCTTCCAATGCATCTCAAACAAGACCTGGGAAGTCATCCTTCCATTTTACTCAACCTTGGTGAGACCACAGCTGGAATACTGTGTCCAGTTCTGGGCTCTGCAATTCAGAAAGGATGTGGAGAAGCTTGAGGGAGAGTCCAGAGGAGAGCCACGTGAATGATTAAAGGACAAGATAGCAGGCCTTATGAGAGGAGGCTGAGAAACACGGGACTCTTCAGCCTGGAAAAACCTAGGTTCAGGGGTGACTTGGTGGCAGCCTATAAGTATATAAGGGGTGTGCACTGAGAACTGGGAGAATGACTGTTCACCAGGGCACCCCATGGGAAGACTAGGTCCAGTGGTCACAAACTCTTGGAAGACTGTTTCAGGCTAGACATAAGGAAAAACTTCTTTACTGTCTGAGTCCCTAAGGCCTGGAATAGACTCCCCCCAGAGGTGGTGCAGGCACCTACTCTGGATTCCTTTAAGGAACACTTGGATGCCTATCTTGCTGGGATCATTGGACCCCTGCTGACTGCCTGCCCTTTGGGCAGGGGGCTGAACCCTATGATCTTGCAAGGTCCCTTCCAGCCCTAATGTCTATGAAATCTATGAAATCACAAGATAGCTAAAGCTTGTAAATCCTCGCTGAGCAGTGTGGTTGGAAGTAGTTAATTGTCAAACTGTTACTGAGAGAGAAAAGTAAACATCTGATGTTCAGGGCCTGACTTGTGGTGAATTGTTATCCATTGTTATTGTTAAAATCACTGTATTATTTTAGGCATACTTAAGTGACCAAAATGATCACATTCCTGGTCTTACTGGCACTGTGAGATTTGTATGAACGTGAACAAGGGAAAACCTAAGCAATTTGGTTTGTCTAAAGCAGGGGTGGGCAAAATATGACCTGCCAATTGATCCTGTCTGGCCCGCTGGCCACCACTAGAAGCCTGAGGAGGAAGGACTGTGCCCTGTGCAGCTCCACTCTGATGCAGCCAGGGCCAGGCTGGGCTGCACAGCATGCAGTGCACAGACTCCTCCTTACCACCCCCCCACTACATTCATTTCCCCTGCCCTGCTTCCTGCTGGTGCTATGGGTACATAGTCCTGGTACCGTGACCTCTGGCAGCCAAGCCCACGTGAGATGGGGCATGATGCATCATGTCAAGTAGCTGTCCCACCCACCCACCTGCCATGATGAGCTGCTGCCACCACGGTGCTGCTAGGAGGTGAGTCCGTGCTGGCTGCAAAGGAGGTCAGCCAGGGGCAGCCTCTCCTGACTTTCCCAGTGTGGCGTGGCAGCAGCAGCTCATCGTGGCAGGGGGGCAGGTGGGACAGCTACTCGTAGGGCTGTGTGAAGCTTTGGTCCCTGATTCGATTTGGCAGAGATTTGGCCCGATTCAGTGGCTGAATCTCCGAATCTGAATCAAATCAGAGGATCCTTTAATTTCTCCGAATGAAATTGGAACCCTCCAAATTGATTAGGAAAGATTCGACAATTCAGACATAGACACAGAAGCACAATTAAATGTTTTTTCTACATACCCCTAGGTAGCAGATGGCTCATGAATGCTGTGATGCTGAAGCGGATGGAGTATCCCACAGAAGCGTGGCAGGGGGCTCCCCAGCACACTCGGTAGCAGACCCAGAAGTGGACCAGGAGCACTTCCAGTCCATTTCTGTGTCCACCAGGGTGCAGGGTATTGGGCTAGAAGACCTTTGAGATCCCTTCCCATTCTATGACTCTATGACTAGGGAAGTGTTCTTTATGGAAAAACCAGTAATAATGAAACCAGTTGGATTCTCCTTTAACCTGTAGATTGTAATTTGAACTGCACACCCACGGAGGGAAAAAAGAGAAGGAAGTAACAAAGAATGCAACCCGCAAAGCCTCCTAGGAAAATATAGTTTCATTCCGTGCCTTCCTCAGGACTTGTGTAAAGTCAAATTTCTGGTGTAGGAGTTTCAAGGGTGCAGGGGGAAGATGGGAGCTGACGTCTGGTGGGATTTGGGCACCTAACCTAACCCTAAAAGGGTTGCTTTAAGATCCTGGCCCCAGTCCTTAATTGGATCTATAGAAATTATTTTTGAAATCCATAGAGAATGATACCTTTTTGCAGGTTTTCAAACATTCCTGTAGAATTCTGTAATAGCAATAATATTCCATGTTCCATTATATAGACAGATTTGCAAACCCGTAGGTAATAACCAGAAAGGTTCATACGTTCCTGGTTTGAATAAGTGGTTTTTTTCTAAAGCAGTAAAACTAATGTTATTATTGCAATACTAGCCAATTGCCCATCAAGAATGACAGGGGGGCTGGGATGGAGTGCTGCCATCTAACGCCCCATGCTGCCTCTGTTCTGACTCTTGCAGGGAGCAGGGTGGGGGCTTCGGCTCCCCCACCCTCTGTGCGGTCCTCGGTGCGGCTTCAGAATCATGGCGGCACTCTCCCACACTTGAAGCATTCTGATTGGCTGTTTCCATCAGCCAGTCAGAGTGCAAATAAAGTGTTACAGACAGACAGACATAGGCTTTTATAATATTAGAATGGACTTTACCTAATATGAGTAAAATATAAAATGCTAAGAAACAGTAAAAG